GAGAGATTCTGAATGTGCAGAAAGTTTTGAACATGAGCAGATAAGTTACAGTGTTTCCCGTACGTTCATTTATTTGTGGCGGCCTGCCACAATATCAGTGCTGAACGGCACATATTGATTTTTGTATTTGTGCTGCAGGCAGCGCGTATTCACGCAGCACATCCTCTTGCTCGTTGATCTCTCGCTCTCTCTCCCTTGTTAACCTGTTGAAAACAGGCCCCTTTTTCCAGAAAAAAACCCAAAAGAATCAGGAATAACTCCTCAACCATTTGGCCTAGATGCATAATTCTGGTCTCCTTTGAAAAGTCAGAAGCTAAGGAATATGAATCCATTGTGTATTAATATATTTATTTTACTTTTACAGACTACATGGAGATGCAATAAAGAAAAAGATATATTTTAATGCAATAAACCATCAAAACCATCCTGAGGAAGCTTTTAATGCAACTGAATATCTTCTAATATACCTAGAATGCAATTTTAACTGTAAATCTTATGAAAATAAACTAAAATACAACAGTTATCATACAACATTTTCAAATATACCAGACGAAATTCCATATTTATTGTTAAAATGCTGACTTTTATTGATAGATATCTTTAAAACACTTTTTCAGTCCATACAACCTATTTCCAAACGACAAAACATTGAAGTATTGATAAAAACAGGAGTATTCATCAACATTCCTGTCACCAAAAGCACTCCCATGATTTACAGGCCTGTAGATTGAGAACACAATCCCACAGCAGACCTTTCTCATTTGATACCCTGCATGTCTATATATCTCCAACGGATCGGCCACAAAATGGCAAAAAACACCGTGTGTTCTCAAGCGGCATGTTTCCTCTCTGCAGAAAAAGACGACAGCAGGCAGGCAGCTTGCAGGTATTGAGCAGTAATCAAGATGGCGCCCGCTTAGACTCGGAGCAACAACATCGGCGGGTTTCGGAGTTAAAAAATCAGTAACATCGCCCAGAGTACCGGGGGACGTCTGTTTCAACACAGCTGCACAAATCTGTCCAACACAACGCTGTCAATGTCGGAGACCCAGCTATCAAAAGTTATTAGCAAGCATGTAAAAGAGCCAAGCTAATAAGGAGCTAAGTTAATGTTAGAATACAGCTGGGTTTTCCAGGCTAACAGGCTGCATCTGCGCCACAGTTACACTGTCATTCTGTGGGAAACACTGAGTTATGATTATTAACAGATGAGCTAATAAAGTCCAGCCAATAACTGAATTAAAACGATTCATTTATTACGGAGATGAAAAGGGGCCACAAACACATTTAAAAAGGTTACTTCCCCACAAAAGAGGAGGGAAGACTTAATCATGTGTGTTGACTCAGGATGATATTAAATAAGTTGATCTACAGGAGAAAAATATTTAAAAGCAATGAGAATGCCTGAGAGCCTCACTGCATTATATTCTATCATAATTAGATATTTTGAATTGTCACCTGCCACCTGAATTTTTAGACACAGATTTCCACAATAAATTGGTGCAGAAAAGGCAGAAATTGGAAGAGAAATTTTCACCAGAATGCAGGAAATTAAGGGTTTAATGCTCAAAATCCAAGTGCCCCATCCAAGAAAACAGCATCTGGGTTCACACACAGTTATTGGGAGGAATATTCACTTATTAGTTAAATATAATTACTTTTCACATGTTTTTTTGTTACCTTTTCCATGTATTTAATAATCATGTAATATAATAATAGTAACAATAAAAAAATCAACAATATTCAGGGCAAATAGCAAACATCTTTTTTGATGGGGGGCGGTAAGGGACCTGGATAATGGATAGGGGGGCGCTGGCCAAAAAAAGGTTGAGAACCACTGGTCTACACCCACATGTTCACAAAAAAAATGCATTTCCTCCTAAGAAATGGAAACACGCACAAGAGCAACATGTTGCTTCGTATAGTTTTCATTTTAAATTTTCTTTAGGACGCAATATTTTTTGCTTCTTTTAGCGACTCTGCTCCTGCTGTAGGGTCAAAATTAACATGCTGTCCATGGCGAGCAGTTTTTTTTTTACTTGGGAGTGGCATCTGCTAAAACAGTTACAATTAATTAAATATTACTAATATTGCTTTGTTACCAAAGTGGAATTACATTATATCATTATTATTATTATTATTATTATTATTATTATTATTATTTTTTGGGGCATTTTTCTCATGATATTGTACAAAGACTACAAATAATCCGTTGTTGTAAGAAAAAGTGTGTCAAATTAGAAAAATCTATTTCAAATTATACTACAATAAAAGTACTCTATATGTGAAAGTCATACATTGAAAAATAAAAGGACAAAAACTAAATTGCCAATCATGGAAACCACTTTTCAGCGGTCACACCACATGATATTTTCTAATTTAATCAAAATTTACAGGCAGAGAATAGGCCACCTAAACAAAACAAGCTAGCTTCCTACAACAGGACTCCATGGAATTTATAATCAAAACAAATTTTGGTAGAAATAACTTTATATTAATTGTTTTTCTGAGGTCATACTACATGTTATCCAAAAGTGGCAACTACATACCAGCTGTTACAATTTTACATTTTTCCAGCTTTGAGAAAGAGTTAAAAACCTACTTGCTGTTTCAATGGGTCCTTGGCAAAATGGGTATATTATTAAACTTCCTGTCTTCTAATGGATTTCAACATAAAAGTCGTTTGTTGATGGTCGCACCACATGATATTTATAAAATGGACATCATCGGACAAAGTTTGCTTGTGTATTATTATGGAAAAATAAATACAGATGCTTTGCGATTTTGAAGAGGACGACAAAACATTTTGGAAATCATGCCAAATAGGGCAAAACACAATTTTGATTAGATTTAAAGTCATTCCAAAGAAGTTTCCAAAACAGCAGTCATGGCCGGACGGTCGCACCGCATGACATTTTGAGACTTCAATTATCAGAAAAATGTTTAACCAAAGTTAAAGGTGAGTACATATATGGGAGAGGTCCTGTATTTATATGGTATGCTTTTATGCTTTCAACCTTTTTTTTTTGTGAAAAAAATCAAGTTGGACACAAAATGTAGGCGTCACGTCATTGACCCTAAACCAAAAGCATTCCAGCTGTGTTTAAACATTTATTTAGGCTATACAAACTTCACTTAATGAGGCTGCCGATGAGTTAAAAGAAATATGACTTGTTGAAAATGACAATGAAATAGTGTTTTTTTACAAGCAGGGCATCACATCCACACGCTGGCGCTCAGCGTTTGGCTCCATAACAAACGAACATGTGATACAATACATGAAACTCTGCTCTCGTATTTGCTCGACTGACGCATTGAAAACGGCATCAATTTAAATATAATTTGTCTCCTGTTCACCTTATTTATGAGAATAAATTTCAATGCATGTAGGCCTATTAATTAATCTGATTCCTGATTAAACTGTCCAACATATTTGAGGTGTTCTTTTGCAGAAACAGAATCTCCGTTTGTGTTTATTATCCTCAGTCATGGTTCTTTTTGTGCGCCGCAAATTATTTTAAATTCTGTTTTTTTATTGCGCACTTCAGGGAAAATCAATCAAACGGGTGTCTGATTATTTAGAAAGGCTTTAAGCCTGTAATACTCAGAGGTAATATTTGGATTTATACAACAGTTTCATCCTTCTGCCGTGTGAGTCGCCGTTTCTCATTTCTCCTCTTTATGTGCGTACGCATGGTTCAGAGTTTACTTACAGGACGCACATTTTCCCCTCAAGTTAGTTTTTTATAGATCACAATCTTTGCTTGGGAAGTGGCGTCTGCACGTTTCCAGCCCTGTTTTGTACGTACGCACCGTTTATAAATGAGACCCCTGGTCCCATATTTCACTACCAGCTCATCAATGATGTGCTTAATGATTGTATTTGATAAACTGATGAAAAACTGATTCTCAACTCTATCCTTCCAATTGTCGGACCACAATTGGATCCTTTACAGTTTGCCTACGAGGCCAAAAGGGGGACAGAAGATGCAGTGGCATGCCTTCTGCACTCCCTACTACAACACCTTGAATCAACTGGGAATTTCACCAGACTTCTTTTTATTGACTTTAGTTCTGCCTTCAACACTATTCAGCGTCACCAGATGATGAGGAAACTCCAACATCTCAACGTCCCCTCAGTTCTCATCCACTGGGTATACAGCTTCCTCAGCGACAGACCACAAACAGTCAGAGTGGATTGTGCGACGTCCCCTACCATCATCAACAACACCGGAGCCCCACAAGGTTGTGTCCTGAGTCCGTTTCTGTTTCCTCTATACACCAATGAATGCACCAGCCCCTCACCTGTTACCACATATATCAAGTACTCTGACGACACTGTTGTTCTTGGTCTCCTTAATAACAAAAACTCTGTTTTAAGCTATCAAGACTCCATCTCTCACCTCACGCAGTGGTGTTCAAATAATTATCTTCAGATGAATGTTGCAAAAACAAAAGAAATGTTGATTAACACACCCAACACCAACAGCACAGCCCATAATGTCACCCCCAACTCTACATGCATAAATAATGTAGCTGTTGAATGGGTGGAGTGCTTCAGATACAATAAACTGAAATTTGATCAACATACCACTCACACTTTCAAACGCTGCCAACAAAGACTCTCTGCCATCCGGAAACTTAAATCCCTTTTGGTTGCTCCCCACCTTCTACTGCTGCTCTACAAAAGCATAATTCAACCGATCCTTCTTTACTGTTCAATCTGTTATTTCAACATACTCACTGTGACCAATAAGAACAAATTTACACGCATCACAAAAAACGCCTCCAAAATAATTGGTCTCCCTCCCCCAACCTCTCTGACCTCAATAGGAAAGCCATTTTACGGAAAGCACACATAATAACACACGACATCAGTCATCCTCTCAACACATTCTTCACTCTGTTACCATCAGGACGTAGATATAGATCCCTGGCCTGGAAACGGGCTCGCTATAGCAGGAGTTTTATCCTTCTCTGCCAGAACACTACTCAACAAGAGTTCTTGCTAAGAAAAAGTTATGTCTTGGTTTGGGTGTTAATTTGTGTATAAAATGTACAGCACGTTGTTATGTATGTTCATGCTGTGTATATGTGAGGTAATGTACGTATAGATTGTGGAAACAAATTTCCTGAAAAGGACATTAAAGAATCTAATCTAATCTAAAAAGTATTATTCCAATGAAAAACTATACATATGCGCCTGTGTTTCATACGATCATGTAGAAAGTTTAAGGAAATTAAGTATTTTCCGTCTTTAGTAAGGACTATCTTAGGCCCTACAAAGCATTACAAAGGAGACTGAAAATAATGTCAGGTTAGGCTTCTTAAGTCTCAGCTTTTTTACGGCCTGGGTTAACACCCCTTTGGTGTCGTTTTTGGACGTCTCGCCGTCAAGTTAGCAACAATAAATACGTCCAGTTACGCTTTCAAAATAAAACTAGTGAATAACGTTTTGAAATTGAACATTACTTGCGTTCCAAAGGCAAACTAAAAAAACTCAATATTGACTTTGTGTTTAACACAGGAAACAGGTGAAAATACGGTTTCTGGTTAAACCGCCCATCTCAACCGTGTTTCCTTATCATAGACTGTAGCCCACATAAAAAATACGGGCCTTAAAGCAGCGCTATTTTGACCCTCGGCGCATCCAGTAGTTCCAACAGTGTGCAGTCACTTTAGCGCCAGACCGCACCGAGGAAGAACAGAGAGAAGCGGCTAAGACGCAGTTGGAAAAACGAGATCCCACGGGCCCAGAAGCAGGTCTTACGTGTAAAAACACCATCACTCCAGATTTCTGAAAGCCGCCATTTGCCACTTTTTTTCCTGGAAACTCCGGTGAGTAAAGTTTGTAACCTTTAGCAGAGAGCTAAAAGTGCAGCGTGATGCTAGCTTAAATGGGCGGGTTAAAACCTAATACTGTAGGTTAAAAGCAGTCGGAGGATGTTGTGAACTGTTCAACAGTATTTTGTTGTGTCCTGGTTTCAAACTAATCTCTGGAGGTACTTTTGGATGTGTAAGCACATGTAGTACCTTCAGAGGTATTTTATATATAGAGTATTTATGATTATACATGTTATACATGCCTTTTTCGTTCCGTCAACATTACGTTATCAGTTAACCTCTAGATAATCCATTACTGACATCTGTCAATGGATTCAGAATCGTCCAAGTCCGCATCACGATGCATCTAAAGATCAGTTATTTTCCACACCCCTAGTGGAGCCTGATGGCTGACGGCACAAATGAGCCTCCAAAGCTCTTTGAGGCTCGGGGCTGGATGAGTCTGTGGCTGAAGGAGCTCCTGAGCTGCCTCAGCTCAGCATAGAGAGGATGAGAGGGGTTGTCCATGATGGTTTTCAGCTTCCCTCTCATCCTCCTCTCAGTCACTGCCTCCACACTGTCCACTTCCATCCCCACCACCGAGCCGGCCTTCCTCACCAGCTCGCCCAGTTTGTTGGTGCACTTACCAAACATCAATCAACTGTTAATTAAACATATCAGATCTACAAGAGTAACAGAGAGTCAGTGAACTGACCTCAGAGTCTCCAGTCTGCAGTGTGGATCCTCCAGAAAACCACACAGCAGCTTCACTCCTGAATCTTGCAGCTCGTTTCCACTCAGCTCCAGCTCTCTCAGATGGGAGGGGTTGGACTTCAGAGCTGAGGCCAGAGAAGCACAGCTGATCTCTGACAAACTGCAGCCCCTCAATCTGAATAAAGAATAAATGATGGAGATAAAAATCCATTTCTAATCCAATCAGATGTGTTCAGGTTTTAAATGTGGAGCTCAACATTACTATGTCCTAATCAATGAGCTTTTCCCTAAAATGAGTAGAGGGACTTTGTCTTTGTGTTATTGTGGATCATCATAATGTCAGCCTTCTACAGACATCATCCAAATGTCAGCACAACATTCATACACCTATTCATGTCAACACAGATCAATAACATGCTGCTGATCTCAGGCCAGTCTGTGTGTGTGTGTGTGTGTGTGTGTGTGTGTGTGTGTGTTCTGAAGGATCAATATCAGTGATCAGACATTATTTGTGAAAACACATTGAAACCAACAGAAACAAAGAAATATAGCACTTTATAATAACTACACACTGTAAAGCATTAGTGAAGTATTAGTAAACACGGAATTCATCATTTATAAACCATTGACGAGGTTGCTGACGTACTGCGGTAAGCGTGTCGACTCATTTCCGTTGCTTGTGTGTTGGTACCGTGTTGTGCTGCTCTCGCTAAATAACAGTTACATTTGTTAGATTACAGCAGCCAACCGTCCGAAAAACACTTATTCTTTACAGTAATTTTGCCTAAGCACTCACACTTCGTTCCATCTTTTAGTGACTGCTGTTCAATCTCATAGTTGTTCTAAAGTTTTGGTAGCTGACGCTACAGTACTTTAGCTTAGCCGTTAGCGACTTTAGCTCCAGCAGCTAGCGATGGCTTCTCCTTCTCCCTCTCTCTCTCCTACTTTGTCCTGCTCGGTGTGTCAGATGTTCAGTTACTCCTCTGCCTCCTTTAGCGGTAATGGTACATGTAATAAGTGTAGTTTATTCATAGACATGGAGGCGAGGCTCAGTGATTTAGAAGTCCGGCTCCGTGCCTTGGTAGATCAGTCTTTAGCTACTGTAGCTAGCCAGTCCCCGGTAGTCGGTGCTGAACGGCCTGAGTTAGCCTCTGGTAGCCGTCCTCCGGCATCCCCTGTGCAGCCAGGAGGGGGGGGGCTGGGTGACTGTCTGAAGGAGGAATAGTCGTAAGCATTCAAAGTCCACGGGGCATCATCAACCTGTTCACGTTTCTAACAGATTTTCCCCACTCAGCGACACACCCGCTGAGAAACCAACTCTGATCATTGGCAGCTCCATTTTGAGAAACGTGAATTTAGCGAAGCCAGCGGCCATAGTTAAGTGCATCCCTGGGGCCAGAGCGGGCGACATTGAGTCTTATTTGAAACTGCTGGCTAAGGATAAACGTAAATACAGTAAGATTGTTATTCACGTCGGCGGTAATGACTCCCGGTTACGCCAATCGGAGGTCACTAAGATTAATGTTGAGTCGGTGTGTACATATGCAAAAACAATGTCGGACACCGTAGTTTTCTCTGGACCCCTGCCAAATCTGACCAGTGATGACATGTATAGCCGCATGTCGTCATTCCGCCGCTGGTTGTCGAGGTGGTGTCCAGCAAACGATGTGGGCTTTGTAGATCATTGGCAGACTTTCTGGGGAAGACCTGGTCTGATCCGGAGAGATGGCATCCATCCCACTTGGGAAGGAGCAGCTCTCATTTCTAGAAATCTGGCCAAGTTTATTAGTGGACCAAATCCATGACAACCCAGAGTTGAGACCAGGAGGCAGAGTCGCAGTCTAACACACTTCTCTGCCCTTCTTTTTCAGCAGTTACCCACCCAAAACCCTACGCAGAGTCGCAGTTTAACACACTTCTCTGCCCTTCTTTTTCAGTAGTTACCCACCCAAAACCCTACGCAGAGTCGCAGTCTAACACACTTCTCTGCTCCTCCATTTCAGGAGTTACTTAGTGAAATCCTATAGTGACGGTGTCTGCCCCCCCACCATCGAAATTATTTAAAAAGGTAAACAGAAGAGGAGCTGTGCATAAAAACCTCATAAAAATTAAAACCACAAGAGCAATAGTGCAAACGAATAGGAGAGTTAAATGTGGACTCTTAAACATCAGATCTCTCTCTTCTAAAGGTGTACTAGTAAATGAACTAATATCAGATTATGATATTGATTTATTTTGTCTTACTGAAACCTGGCTGGGTGATGGAGAATATGTTAGCCTAAATGAATCCACCCCTCCCAGTCATATTAATACTCACATTCCTCGAGGCACAGGCCGAGGAGGTGGAGTTGCAGCTATCTTCGACTCTAGCCTACTAATCAGCTCTAAACCTAAACCAAACTATAACTCATTTGAAAGCCTTGTTCTTAGTCTTTCACACCCAAGTTGGAAATCACTGCAACCAATTCTCTTCGTTATAGTGTACCGAGCACCTGGCCCGTACTCTGAATTCTTATCTACATTTGCAGAGTTTTTGTCAACTTTAGTCCTTAAAACAGACAAAGTTATTATTGTAGGGGATTTTAATATTCATGTGGATGTTGAGAATGACAGCTTCAGTACTGCGTTTATCTCTGTTAGATTCCATTGGCTTCTCTCAGTGTTCATGAACCGACTCACTGTTTTAACCACACCCTCGACCTTGTTTTGGTGTATGGCATTGAAATTGAACATTTAATAGTGTTCCCACAGAATCCCTCTTTGTCCGACCACTGTTTAATAACTTTTTCCCAAATCGATCATCTTGTTGATAGTGCTGCAGGCTCGCTGCGAATGACACTCGACTCTGTAGCCCCTCTAAAAAAGAAAATAATAAAACAAAGACGGTTAGCTCCATGGTATAATACTGAAACTCGCAAATTAAAGCAAATATCGCGGAAACTTGAGAGGAATTGGCGTTCCACCAAACTGGAAAATTCTCGTTTAATTTGGCAAGATAGTCTTAAAACTAATAGGAAGGCCCTCCGTAATGCCAGAGCAGCGTACTACTCGTTATTAATAGAAGAAAATAGGAACAACCCAAAGTTTCTTTTCAGCACTGTAGCCAGGCTGACAGAGAGTCACAGCTCTGTTGAGCCAAGTATTCCCATAGCTCTCAGTAGTTACGACTTCATGAGCTTCTTTAATGATAAAATTCTAGATATTAGACAACTTATCTCTAAACTCAGGAACCTTAGAAACAGCTGTAGAACCAGATACATGTTTAGACTGCTTTGCTTCCCTCAATCTTTACCAACTAACTTCAATAATTTCTTCATCTAAACCATCAACCTGCCTCTTAGACCCCATCCCGACTAGGCTGCTTAAAGATGTTTTACCCTTAGTCAGCACCTCTATACTAGATATGATCAATCTATCTTTATCAACAGGCTATGTACCACAGTACTTTAAAGCAGCTGTAATTAAACCTCTTCTGAAAAAGCCCAAACTTGATCCGGATGTTTTAGCCAACTATAGACCTATATCTAACCTTCCATTTCTCTCTAAGGTCCTGGAGAAAGCAGTTGCTAAACAGCTGTGTGACTTTCTACAGAGCAATAGTTTATTTGAGGATTTTCAGTCAGGATTTAGAGCTCATCATAGCACAGAGACAGCACTGGTGAAAATTACTAATGACGTCCTCATTGCATCAGACAAAGGACTTTTCTCTGTACTGGTTTTATTAGATCTTAGTGCTGCATTTGATACCATTGACCATCAGATCCTATTGCAGAGACTGGAATATTTCATTGGCATTAAAGGAACCGCTCTAAGCTGGTTTAGGTCTTATTTATCAGATCGATTTCAGTTTGTACATGTTAACGATGAGTCCTCCATGCACGCCAAAGTTAGTCATGGAGTTCCTCAAGGATCTGTCCTCAGACCAATCCTCTTCACTTTATATATGCTTCCTTTAGGCAATATTATCAGGAAATATTCCATAAGCTTTCATTGTTATGCAGATGATACTCAGTTATATCTATCGATCAAACCAGATGAAACTCATCAATTTTCTAATGTTAAACTCAGATAAAACTGAAGTTATTGTTCTGGGGCCTAAGCACCTCCGTGACGCATTATCAAAAGATATAGTTTCCCTTGATGGCATCGCCCTGGCCTCCAGCACCACTGTGAGGAATCTTGGCGTTATCTTTGATCAGGACATTTCGTTTAAGTCTCACATTAAGCAAATTTCAAGGAACGCCTTTTTTCACCTACGTAATATTGCGAAAATCAGGAACATCCTGTCTAAAAATGATGCAGAAAAACTAGTCCATGCATTTGTTACTTCTAGGCTGGATTACTGCAATTCCTTATTATCAGGCTGCTCGAAAAAGTCCATTAAGACTCTTCAGCTGATCCAGAATGCTGCAGCACCTGTTCTGACAGGAACCAGGAAAAGAGATCACATTTCTCCTGTTTTAGCTTCTTTGCATTGGCTTCCAGTAAAATCCAGAATAGAATTTAAAATCATTCTTCTTACCTACAAAGCTCTTAATGGTCAGGCACCATCTTATCTTAAAGAGCTCATAGTACCTTACTACCCACCAGAGCACTGCGCTCCCAGAATGCAGGGTTACTTGTGGTTCCTAGAGTCTCTAAAAGTAGACTAGGAGCCAGAGCGTTCAGCTATCAAGCTCCTCTCCTGTGGAACCAGGTTCCAGTTTGGGTTCAGGAGGCAGACACCATCTCCACATTTAAGAGTAGGCTTAAGACTTTCCTCTTTGATAAAGCTTATAGTTAGGGCTGGCTCAGGTAGTCCTGAACCATCCCTTAGTTATGCTGCTATAGGCCTAGACTGCCGGGGGATTTCCCATGATGCACTGAGCTCCTCTCTCCTCTACTTTCTCTCCCTCTGTATGCAACCTCATCCCATTATTGCATGTTACTAACACAACTTCTCCCCTTTCTGGTAGTCTTGTGCTTTCTCGTCCCTCTCCTCTCTCCTCCTATCACTTCCTGCAGGTGTTTCTGGCTCTGGAGCTGTGGAGTCTGGATCTGTGGTTGCGGGTCACCTGCTGCCCCCGTGTTCCTGCTCGACACCCTCTGCTGCAACGACTATTGTTACTAGTCCTATTGTTATTATTGTTATTATAATCATTAACATTACAATGGTTACCATTAACACTATTATAA